CCGGGCCTGAGATGCCCCCGGGATGGATCGAGGGCCCCCGCAGGCGCCGGCAGCAGCCCGCGGAAGCCGGTGGCGGTGGGCTGGCCCCGTTGCGAAGCAGGAAGCGCCTTCCGCCCTGGTGGTGCTGACACTGTCACTCTCTCCGCCAGACGGGGTGTGTAACCTTTGGATGCTGCACCACGTGAGTTGCTGGAGAGGCCTGAGCGCGGGGGGCCTCCGAACGCTGCCAGTTGCCCGAGGGAGCGCTGGCTGCTGGTGCGCTAGGGAGCGATTGCACCTGCAAGGGTGGGGGAAGCATCCAGAAGATGGTGACTGCGGGAATATCTCTGCCGATGCCTGGCTTTGCTGTTCAAAGAGCAGTTTTCTTTTTCCCACTGGTGTCGGAGCCCAGAAACCCGAGGAGCTTCTGTTAGCTTTTTGGGAAGAAGGCTTCTCCTCAGAAATCCAGCCCACAGGACTTGTGCTCGTGATCGTGGGAGGCATTTAATTTAGCACGGTATTCACTAGCAATGTAAGTGGCTACTGCTGAGCTAACAAGAAGCATCTGCTTTTAATTTTTCCGAAGCTAGAAGATCTATGGTTAAGTGGCGCTCGTCTCCCATGGCATTCATCTGACTAGCTGTTGAGGTAAATGACATTCATAGCGGGGAATGAGACTTGAGGATAATGTTCTAGTTACTCCTTCACCTGGTTTCATTGCTTCCGTTTCATTTTTTGTAAACTCCTCATGAAGAGGAATAAAGGTGTACTATAAGCTGTCTTTGACGGATCTCTTCTGGGGCCAAAGGATGACTATTTGTGGTGATGCTAGAGTTCCCTGGCACTGACCTCTTGTGTCCTGCCTTCAGTATGCAACTTGATTTCAAGCTTTCTTAAGTGCTACTGGAAATTTTTAAAAGTGTAATTGTTTCCTTTTCATAAAAAAAAATGCATGGTCTGTAGTCCAGAGCTCCTATAACTTCAGTGTGGGAGGGAGAAATAAATGTATTTGGCTTAAAGTAACGAATTTGCAGGATTCAGTTAGGATGTTAAAGTGATGCCCCTTGGAGCTATAAAACATAGCTTAACACTCTGAAGTGTAAGCAAAATATACCTTTGGTATAAAGAGTAGTATCTTCCATTAATACCATGTTATATGAAGGAACATGGCATTGCAAATCTTTGGGGAGGAAGGGGGCATTGCTGCATGTTTAAAACGTTACAAATATGAAGTGGGTTTAAGGAGGTTCTTTTTTTAAAATGGCTTCTGACTTTAAAAATACCTTGACAGGTTGACTTGGAATTTTTTTACTTGTTTAGCTTACTACTATCTTTAATTTACACTAGGTATAATAAGGCTATTACATTTTTGAACTGACATTATAGCTTTTAAGCTCTTGAGGAACTCATTCCAGGGACCACAAGTGCAGCCTTTTAACTAAAGTAAATTGGAGTATCTTAAAGCATTGACTTTGCTGTTAGAAATAGCTTCCAGTGTACCAGAACTTGAATCCTTGGGGCATAATGAATGGAAACTTGTTTAGTGTGCAAATGGAAAAGTGGTCACTGAATAGTTCAGTAAAAAATAATTAAACCTCTTAAAAATGTCAAATTGCAGATCTCGATTGGCATTGGTGGGGAGGGGGGTTCTTGCTTGCTTACCTCCTGCTCCTTCCTTTCTACTGTGGTGGGACCTTTTTTTGAGGCTTTTAGCTTGAGTAGTCCGTGTTCAAGCTAATGTTGGCATGGATGAAAGCACTTGGAAGCTGCTGCCCCCACCCTCCACCCCAGTACTGCTACCTTGATAATTTGAACTACAATGTTCACAGTAATTAAAATCCTACTGAGCATGAAATATCAGTCATTCTCTTCTGTGGATGCCTGAGAATACAAAATGAATACTCACTTCTAATGGGTGGGAATCCTGAGCCATGGTTGTGTGTCTTGTTTTGCAGGGACTTCTGTAAGGCATCTAGAACTGACATTTTCTAACTTTGGATGATTTAACTCTTAAAGCAAATTGGTCTCGTGTCATTCTTTGTATTTTCTGTGCAATTAAACTATGTCTTAAGCTTCTAAAATTCTTTAAGACTCCCTTTAAGGTATGGGGGGGGGGAACTATATACAGATGAATAACTTTTTTCTAGAAATCTTCTAAGCTTGGAATGGAGACTTTGGTTTTTTGTGGGAACTGCTGGATGCTGTCAGAATCGGTTCAAAACAGAGTAGGCATTCTTCCATAGGTGGATGGAAAAGATGATGTAAAATTGTTTCTGACTCTTACTTCTGTTGCTATTAACAGTACGTAAAAATGGTACTTGGGTATTCTTTACACAGCTCAATATAACCTTGGTGCTATCTTTTTGCCTGTGAACTAGTCTGTCTGCAGAAATGGCACAACATGAAATGTACAAGGAGATAAGTTGTGTGTGTTTTTGTTTTTGTTTTTTTTTTTTTTAAGGGGGTGTAGACTTATTTGGGAACTTAATGTAACCTTCTTATGATAAATTAGGGACAGTATGATTCCTGATCACTGCAATTGAAGTGATTGGTAACTTTTGGAGCACCAAAAAAAAAAATATCAACACATCCTATTGAAATCTAATTACAACAATGTTGAGCAATCTTCAGAATTTCCTTTAATTACAATGGGTTAACCAAACCAACTGAATTGGTATTCCTTAATCAGACTTTCCTAGTTCTTGAGCTTTTGATCAAAAGTTCAACTGTTGTCCACTTACAAAGTAAAACAAACAGTCTCTAATTGATTGTAGTTGCTAGAGAGCTGTGTATGGATATATTGGAGAAAGCAGGCTTGTTGCACTAATCTAGGATCTTAGTTAACTCTTGAAAGGGTTATCTTTTATTGGCTTCAAGTGTAATATCTACTAGGGCATACTTTGTTGTCTTGGCTTTACAATGAAATAAGTGCTGCTGCATACTAGAAGCCACTTGTCTAGTCAAAAAAACTAATATATAGGTAGATGTTGGCTTGAAAGATGTACAGTAGTTGGTTTAAGTTAAATATTCATTCTATTCTATTATTTGCAAGCCATTCATATGGCTATTTACCCTTACTATAGTTGATTATTTCCTATAGTTTATCCATTTGGGTTGTAAGACTGAAAATTTTGGCTTTTTTGGACTTCCTTCTACTACTTTGTCACTGGAATAACCCAGGAATGAGGCAGCTATTGCTATTTTAACTGCTTATTAGTGCCTTCTGTAAATAACATTAAAGAAGAATACTGGGGGGTTATAAGGGTAAATAGCTATATGAATATCTTGGGGGGGAGAGTTGGTGAAATAAGAATTTTAAACCTACAACCCTTTTTTTAAAACTGCCTCTGTGGAACCTCTTTAGACTTGGGGAAACCCCTATATAACTTCATTAAACTGTGTGGCACCGCACTTCAAAAACTACTTTTATTACAGGGCTTACCTTTTTATAGAAGGGGCAGGCAGTAAGGGTAGGGGAGCAGCTAAGCAGAGAGCCTGAGCCGGCCCTTGCATGCTTATATTCTCATGCTTCCTGTAACACCCTTCAAAGGGTAGCTCAGCTCCACCCCCTTTCCCTCTCCCAGGTATCCCAGTTCCCTAGTTGAGAATCACTGTCATGGAAATGCTGGGTTTCAAAGATACTGAAACTCCCAACTGATTAGCAGAGCATGATAGTATTGCACAGAAGCTCAGGCTTAAATTGGGGGGGGGGGGGGAA